GTGGTCAAAAGGGCTAGCAAAATCACTCTGGACCCCTCACATCCAGCACACTCACTCTTTGAACTGTTTCCATCTGGTCGACGCTACAGAGCACTGAGCACCAGAACGACCAGACACAGGAACAGTTTCTTTCCTCAGGCAATCCATCTCATGAACACATAACAATAATCGTGGAACACACAACACTAGTAAACATTATTTATTTAACATACATACATACATTGTAAAGCCATGCTTTAGCTTCTAAATACTTGAGCAAATTCTTATCGCATTATAGTCCTTCACGTCTACTGCATTCTCAAAACTCTGGCCATTTGCTAATAACTAGAATATCAAAATCAACTGCGGGCGACAGATCCTTTTCCTATTTAGTGCCCAGACTCTGAAACAATCTACCTAACATTGTTCAGGAGGCAGACACACTCTTATCAGTTTAAATCTAGATTAAAGACCCATTTCTTTACACACAATACACCACTGCATTTCTATAATTTAAATCCGTTAAAGGATTGTTAGGCTGCATTAATTAGGTCAACCGGAACCAGGAACACTTCCCATAACATCCAATGTATTTGCTACATTGTAAGAAGAATGGCATCTACACCAGGGTTTCTCAACTCTGGCCTGCGAGATCCATTTTCCTGCAGAGTTTAGCTAAAAACCATGATCAAATTCACCTGCCTGTAACTTTCTGGAGATCCTAAAGACCTTGATTAGCTTGTTCAGGTGTGTTTGATTCGGGTTGTAGCTGAACTCTGCAGGAAAATGAACCTCGTGGGCCAGAGTTGAGAAATCCTGATCTACGCTAATATCAGTCTGTTTCATGCTTATTCCAAGGTCAAGATAGCCACCCACATCCAGTCCGTATATTGACGGCTGATGTATAACCTATTGAAGGATATAGTCTTATGTTCTTTTCAAAGCAGATGGGAAATGAACATGATAAAGATGACACATGCACACACTCCAGTCACTGTCAAGATTAAATCAGAGGTTTTCTGCACTGAAAGGTGATTGTGTGCGACTGTAGGCTGGTAAATCTGCTGTTGGTTTTCTCTTCTGGTCTCCAGAGGACTGTCGCTGATGTCCTGTCCGGCAAGTTCAGTTACAGTTCGTAACAGCACAGCGAATACAGAAACTGCGAGTGTGGCGAAAACCCCGCAGGCCAGCGTCAGCTGAACAGAGCTGTGTGTGAAGTCTCTCCACGCTCGCATCAGCTCCATCCTCCACAGGACTAATGAACATGGAGTCACGTCCCCCTCCTCACCTGCATCTACAGGAGGAAGAGGATCATGAGGAGAGAGCAGATTCATGCAGGTGTGATTGACTTGACTTGCATTGTTCTTAAAATCAACATGAATTTATAATGAACCCTATTTACTTTTTTAGTGCACATTGCTAGTCTTTGTGAATGATTTACTGCTGCATGTTATTCCAAGAAAAAAAACTATTGTTTACATCAAATTATGCAACTTTCTGTGCCATTGAAACTACTTTTCTTTGCAGCAGTAAAAATGGGAAATGATAGAAAATAATACTTTTGTGATGATAAAGACATTTATAATGTTACAAAATTGTTAGATTTCTATTTCAGATCAATGCTGTTCTTCTTAACTTTCTATTCATCAAAGAAACCTGAAAAAAATTAAGAACATTGGCTCTGATTTTGTATCTTTGAAAAACATTGTGCCATTTAAAACATGATGTTTACTTTAAGCCCATTAAACTTTTCATTAATTTATAACTTCTTATCCCTTTATTGTTTTATTGTGAGTCAAAGATGATCCAGTGTATATTTGTTTTGTTTTCATTCTTATTGCATCTTTATCAGCTTGTGTGGGTGAGTTCTGAAAATGTTATCATGAGCGTAGGGTAGGTAATGAGATACCACCCAGAAACGATATACTATACAGTAGAGACACCAAGCTAAGTCTACGTCACAGATGAAACTAAGAAAATACAGATGAAAGTACAATTTGTTCATGAATATCTTGTGTATTTGCCACCTTAAAGCAAAACTCAATAATCATATATTTTATGCCATTTGTGACAAACTTCGACAAATCCAGTTATTAGTTCATTCTCAGAATGTGTTTCTATTAACCCACACAAGACAAACTAATAAAAAGAAAATCCAAGCTGACATCAAAGAACTAGATTTGACGAAGGTCAACTATAGCCCTATTTGGATGAGATTAGGACCACTTTACCAGGAATTTTACCACAGGATGTCTGTAATATTAATGGCCAAATTGCACAGGAAAAAATCTCAATAAAACTACCAGAAGTGGGAGGGGTAACTCGATTAATGCACTGCCATCACCTCTGTCATCTTGTGTGTGCCACATTGCTTCCTGTGCACACTATGTTGCTTGTAATATTAGTTAGGTCTGGTTGAACGATTTGTTAATTAAATTAATTATATTCTGATTGGATTATTTTGGTAATAGGCACTTACCTAAAGCTAACAAAAGTTTCATGCCAGAAAATGATGGAATATTTACGGACATATTTACAGCTGGTCTGTTCGCATGGGATTAGCGTTACCTGAGGCAAGTTTTCCAGACATTTTTTACAGAAGGTAAAAGTCACTGTAATCTTTACTGACATTGAGATGGCACATTTGGACAGGATGATAATTAGTAATTAGTTTAGTCTAACTTTTTTGAGCTGCATGTACACATTATAACCCTCATCATTAAAGTAAAAATATAATTTAAAACATTCTGGAGGATTGTTAAAAATGAATCAGTGAAATGCCTGGTGAAATGCCATCCAGAGTGAGCAAAAGGGCTAGCAAAATCACTCTGGACCCCTCACATCCAGCACACTCACTCTTTGAACTGTTTCCATCTGGTCGACGCTACAGAGCACCAGAACGACCAGACACAGGAACAGTTTCTTTCCTCAGGCAATCCATCTCATGAACACATAACAATAATCGTGGAACACACAACACTAGTAAACATTATTTATTTAACATACATACATACATTGTAAAGCCATGCTTTAGCTTCTAAATACTTGAGCAAATTCTTATCGCATTATAGTCCTTCACGTCTACTGCATTCTCAAAACTCTGGCCATTTGCTAATAACTAGAATATCAAAATCAACTGCGGGCGACAGATCCTTTTCCTATTTAGTGCCCAGACTCTGAAACAATCTACCTAACATTGTTCAGGAGGCAGACACACTCTTATCAGTTTAAATCTAGATTAAAGACCCATTTCTTTACACACAATACACCACTGCATTTCTATAATTTAAATCCGTTAAAGGATTGTTAGGCTGCATTAATTAGGTCAACCGGAACCAGGAACACTTCCCATAACATCCAATGTATTTGCTACATTGTAAGAAGAATGGCATCTACACCAGGGTTTCTCAACTCTGGCCTGCGAGATCCATTTTCCTGCAGAGTTTAGCTAAAAACCATGATCAAATTCACCTGCCTGTAACTTTCTGGAGATCCTAAAGACCTTGATTAGCTTGTTCAGGTGTGTTTGATTCGGGTTGTAGCTGAACTCTGCAGGAAAATGAACCTCGTGGGCCAGAGTTGAGAAATCCTGATCTACGCTAATATCAGTCTGTTTCATGCTTATTCCAAGGTCAAGATAGCCACCCACATCCAGTCCGTATCCAGATCAGATGGTCACTGCAGTCACCCGGATCCAGTCTGTATCCAGCCCAGATGGTGGATCAGCACCTAGAGATGACCTCGACAGCCCAGAATGTCAGCGGAGACCATGTCAACTAGATGAGCCCCAGAGAAAGATCCCCAGTGAAAAGACCTCGTCACTAGACGGCTATCGGGACAAGACCACGTGAACCAGATGAGCCCTGTGCACAATCTGACTTTGTTGCAGCCTGGAATTAAACTGCTGGTTTCATCAAGCCAGAGGAAAACGATGAAGTTTTGGTTCCTTCAACACACTATTTCCGTGTTTAATACTGTAAAGCTGCTTTGACACAATCTATATGGTGCGCTATATAAAAAAAACGTGACTTGGCTTTGAGGGATTGAAGTATGCATTCAGTATGGGTTGTAGTGTTGTTTAACAGCATATGTCAACTGTTCAGCTGACGAAACAAATAATAAATGCATATTTCAGTAGGCTATACAAAAACTCCATAAAACATTTTTGAAAGTTGTAAGTTTCTAAAATTATGATTCTTATTTAAATTTATAATGGCAATAATTAATAAGGCCTGTAAACACTACACTCTGTTTGAACCCATGTATAGGCCCCATTAATTATCGGCATTATATAAATCATCAATTATATGTATTTATACAAATGGTCCTCAAATCTGACTGGCTCTGTTTTTTGGAACACAAAAGGAGAAATAAAACAAAAAAGAGTCCTGTTCGTGCTTGGCATTGAATATATTAAGCCTCTTTTCACGGATGCAGAATTATCACAAAATAACCTCTTGCAACTTGTGCAGAAAATAAAAAGAAGTCAAGATGAGAATAGAAATCTCAAGACGAAAAAGAAAAAAAAACTCAAATTCAGATTAGCCATTCCTGAGCTGTGGCACCCTCTCGAGGTTTATAACTGACAACAGATCTGCCTACTTTCCCACGAAAAGATCCAAGTCACAGAAGCCCTTAAATCAATGTTAAACCTAATAGGTGTGAAAACTTATGAGAGGAGGACATATACGCATTTATAGCCAAATACTACTTAAACTTAGTTAATAAAAACAGGAGTTAGTTATTTGTTGCTTCATAAAACCCTATATTGTAAAAGATTATGTTAGTAAATATGTATATTGCATCATTTCAAAATGTTTTCTGCTGTTCAGTGTGAACTGTAAAAACACACACTACTTACACACTGCAGTATGAAACAGACTGTAGCTATTCAGATGAAAGAAAAAGAGAACCATCACGTATCATGTGAGATTTATTTGCACTGCAAACATTGTAGTATTCGAAAGTAGATGAATCTGAGTGCAAACAACACAGGTTACTGAGAACCTGACTGTCCATTTTGTTCATGCTTTTATCCAAAGCAACTTAAGGTGCATATATACTGGTTCAGTTCTCCTGCAGTAACCTGAGTTGAAGAGTGTTGATCGATAGTGACGGCTGATGTATAACCTATTGAAGGATATAGTCTTATGTTCTTTTCAAAGCAGATGGGAAATGAACATGATAAAGATGACACATGCACACACTCCAGTCACTGTCAAGATTAAATCAGAGGTTTTCTGCACTGAAAGGTGATTGTGTGCGACTGTAGGCTGGTAAATCTGCTGTTGGTTTTCTCTTCTGGTCTCCAGAGGACTGTCGTTGATGTCCTGTCCGGCAAGTTCAGTTACAGTTCGTAACAGCACAGCGAATACAGAAACTGCGAGTGTGGCGAAAACCCCACAGGCCAGCGTCAGCTGAACAGAGCTGTGTGTGAAGTCTCTCCACGCTCGCATCAGCTCCATCCTCCACAGGACTAATGAACATGGAGTCACGTCCCCCTCCTCACCTGCACCTACAGGAGGAAGAGGATCATGAGGAGAGAGCAGATTCATGCAGGTGTGATTGACTTGACTTGCATTGTTCTTAAAATCAACATGAATTTATAATGGACCCTATTTACTTTTTTAGTGCACATTGCTAGTCTTTGTGAATGATTTACTGCTGCATGTTATTCCAAGAAAAAAAACTATTGTTTACATCAAATTATGCAACTTTCTGTGCCATTGAAACTACTTTTCTTTGCAGCAGTAAAAATGGGAAATGATAGAAAATAATACTTTTGTGATGATAAAGACATTTATAATGTTACAAAATTGTTAGATTTCTATTTCAGATCAATGCTGTTCTTCTTAACTTTCTATTCATCAAAGAAACCTGAAAAAAATATACTCCGCTGTTTTCAACATAATAATAATAATAATAATAATAAATGTTTCTTGAGCAGCAAATCAGAATATCAGAATGATTTCTGAAGGATCATGTGATGCTGAAGACTGGAGTAATGATGCTGAAAATTCAGCTTTGAAATAACAGGAATAAATTAAATTTTTAAATATGTTCAAATAGAAAACAGTTATTTTAAATAGTAAAAATATTTCAAAATGTTACTGTTTTTGCTCTATTTTGGATCAAATAAATGCAGGCTTGGTGAGCAGAAGAGACTTCTTTAAAAAAACATTAAATATTACTGTTCAAAAACTTTTAACTGGTAGTGTATATATAAAAAATATTTAAAAATCAAAAGCATTAAACATTTTAATTAACCAACAATATGGTAGCCTAACATCCACATCATAACCAAAACCAAAACTATACTAAATCTACTCAAGTTCCAAAATAAAATAAAATAACGTGAAAATATTATGATTTTAAAAGACTTTTTAAAATGTTTTATCACTTATATATAAAATGCCTTATACTCACCATGACTGCATTTATTTAATAAAATATTGTGAAATATTATTCTCATTTAAAATAACAGAGTCCCATCTGATCCAGAATGATGTCAGGAACTTCATAACCCTCTTCAATTACCGTGACCAGATTAAAGAGGCCCTGACGATCACACAAACAATTATTAGCACATTATTTTATATAAAAATATATATTCTAAAGAAGACATTTGGTTTGATGCATTTAGATTTTTGTAGGATTCCAAAATCTATAATCTACTTTGGACAGATTGTGTGTGTGTGTGTGTGTGTGTGTGTACTTGAGCACTGCCATACACTGCTGCTGTACTGTACATGTCTATGGCCTTCACCATATCAGCCAGTTCACTGTAATAATCTCCCAATGCAACAAGCCTGCAGAATGCAGAGAAACAGAAGCAGATAAAAGCAGAAAGAGAGAGAGAGAGGTGGACCAAGAAAACTATTATGAGAAAGAGAAGTAGTAGTGTCATAGTGTCATTTCTGCTGGTCTGCAGAGGCTCACCAGCTTCCTGAGGGATGTGGTTGTAGGTGGAGTAGTTGTGGTACCTCCACTGACAGGCAGAACTGTGATCTAACAGCTGGAAATACACATGAAATAATAGAATTAGAAAAAAACAACAGCCAGGAAATGAAAGGCTTGAGATGGTTGGATTAGCAGATTTTGAGACGGTTCACCTCACACAGATGGGCGGCGTTGTGCTGTGCCACACCGAGACCAGTTTCTGCCAGCATGGCATATTTCACCAACGCTTCATCCCTTGAATAGACAGTTACACAAACATTCACAAATATGTCATTTCAAAACAGTATGATTTTTTTTTCTTCCGTGACAATGAATAATGTGCTGGTCACTTTTTTCCATTAAAATGTTTAAAGACAAAAAAGAAAAAGTGTTATAAAGTGCCCATTTGACTTTATACAGACGTTTTCTGTAATCACATGACCCCTAGAAAACAAGTCAGTACAACTCAAGGGTGTTACCCTAAGAGGTGAATGGATGGATGTAAGGTTAGATAGATGGAAGGATGTTGGATGGATAGATGGATGATTTATGAAAGGATGGATGGATAGATCGAATTATGAAGGGATGTGTGGATGGATGTATGGATGGATGTTGGATAGATGGATGTACTGTATGCAGGGATGGATAGATGAAGGGTTGGATGGATGGATGGGTAATGTACTGTATGCATGGATTAATGGATGGATAAATAGATGAAGGGTTGGATGGATGTACTGTATGCAGGGATGGATGGATGGATGCGTGATGTACTGTATGCAGGGATGAATGGATGGATAGATGAAGGGTTGGATGGATGGATGCTGGATGGATGGATGTACTGTATGCAGGGATGGATGGATGGATTAATGGATGGATGTACTGTACACAGGGATGGATGGATGGATGTACTGTATGCAGGGATGGATGCTGGATGGATGTACTGTACGCAGGGATGGATGGATGATGGATGGATGGATGGGTGATGTACTGTATGCAGGGATGAATGGATGGATAGATGAAGGGTTGAATGGATGGATGCTGGATGGATGTACTGTACACAGGGATGGATGGATGATGGATGGATGGATGGATGGGTGATGTACTGTATGCAGGGATGAATGGATGGATAGATGAAGGGTTGAATGGATGGATGCTGGATGGATGTACTGTACACAGGGATGGATGTACTGTACACAGGGATGGATGGATGCTGGATGGATGTACTGTACGCAGGGATGGATGGATGGATGCTGGGATGGATGGATGTATTGTACGCAGGGATGGATGGATGAATGGATGGATGTACTGTATGCAGGGATGGATGGATGGATGGATGGATGTACTGTACGCAGGAATGGATGGATGGATGCTGGATGGATGGATGGATGGATGGATGGAGGTACTGTACGCAGGGATGGATGGATGGATGCTGGATGGATAGATGGATGGATGTACTGTACAGGTAATAATGTTGTAAATAATGTTCAGTTTCTTGCACAGACCGATCGTTTTGCTTCATAAGACCTCAATATATCGTAAGGAGCCATGGGTATTAATTTTGTGTTCCTTGATCTGCTTTTTTAAATGATCGAAAACGGTAACTTTCCGCTGACTTGCATTATATGAATCACCAAGTACCACGGTTTCAGCTAAAAATCGTATTTTCTGTTCTACTGAAGAAAAAAAGTCACCTACATCTTGGATGGCCTGAAGGTGTATAAATTAACAGCATTTTTTTATTTTTGGGTGAACTAATCCTTTAAATGTGCGACCTCTGACCTCATTACTGTCTGGTTTGTCAGGATTGTCACCATTTAAATGGTAGACGCCCACATTAAAGAGCCCATCACGACTGCCATTCTGAGCCGCCAACTCAAAGTATCGAAAGGCCTTTGTTCCGTCATTTACTATGGTACTGTAGTACCATCCGAGGCCATTCAGAGCTTCTACAGAACCCTGAGAAAAACACACAGATACACCATTTTGCATTTATTTTCCTAATGTTGTGACGGGAGTTCATACTTATACAAAACAAACGTGTGTGCACTTTTTACAATGCAAATGCTTGAAAAGATATGGCTCAAGAGATTTCCATGTAACCTGTGGATCACCTTTAGGAGGAGAATGGCGTAGTCGTACATGGCGGTGGGATCGACCATCTGCAGGGCGCTTCTGGCATACCACATGACTGCTGCTCGAATATCTTTCTCCACCCCGTTACTGCCCCATAGAAGCATCCTGCCCAGAGATTTCTACAAGAAATACCAGCCCACAACAACGGTAAAATAGCGGAGAATCTCAAATGAAGTAACAAAAGTCTCTCTACTGACAAATATCTGTAATATTATGGGAATATTTTGTTACCATATTCTGTGAAACCCTGGTTATCGTTGTCATCTGTGGTTTTGCCCATGATTTGGCTTTTTACTAGTATAAAGAATTACTTTTCATACTGTTTTGTTTCCCTAATTTTTGTACTTTTGTACAGAATGATTACACAAACATAAAGTGGGGTCACCAAGTCCATTGCTTTTTTTTCTTTCTATTTTTTCTATTCATTCATTCATTCATTCAAAACTGAAAATAATAATTGAAAATTAAGTTTTTAAAGAAATTTAAAAATGTTGTCCAAGAACCTGAGCCCCAGCTCTGGTTTCATTAAAAAGAAAATAAATGTCTATGACATTCTTAAAGGGGTCATATGATGCGATTTCAAGTTTTTCTTTCTCTTTGGAGTGTTATAAGCTGTTCATGAATAGATAAGATCCCTAAAGTTGGCCAACTTTAAGATCCCTAAAGTTCGAGACTCCTGAAGTATTTCCACTTTTGTGTCCCATATGCATCAGACGTTTAGCCAACGGTCCGTGGGCATGACGTCTGAGGCAGAGACTATGTGTTTCGTTGCGAAAGCGAAAATACTTTGTTTGGTCTTCCAAAAGAGGACACGACTAGAAATCAGTGGTTAAGTTGTATTTACAACAATGTTCCAGAACAGTTCAAGAGATTCAAGAAGAACACTGGGGTCGATAGACAAGGCTGCACATTCAGAGGGTCGGGACAGGACAACAGTTCACAAACGACCTCCTGGGCCGAAACAAAGCAAGCAAAGAATTCACAAACAGCCTCCATAGCCGTGACAGGACGAGCAGGGAGTTCGCAGACGGCCTCCATAGCCGTGACAGGGCAGGACGAGGATTCACAGACGGCCTCCATAGCCGTGACAGGACGGGACGAGAGTTCACAGACGGCCTCCATAGCCGTGACAGGACAAGCAGGGAGTTCGTAAACGGCCTCTATAGCCGTGACAGGGCAGGACGAGGATTCAGAGACGGTCTCCTTAGCCGTGACAGGACAGACAGAGAGTTCACCGACGGCCTCCATAGCCGTGACAGGACGGGACGAGAGTTCACAGACGGCCTCCATAGCCATGACAGGACAAGCAGAGAGTTCATAGACAGCCTCCTTGGCCGGAAAACAGAACAGGCAGAGAGTTCATAGGTGGCCTCCTTGGCTGGAACAGGACAGGCAGAGAATTCATAGGCGGCCTCCTTGGCCGGAACAGGACAGGTTGGAAGTGAGTTGCTGGGCGCCACCACCACACAGTTGACTCAGGATGATCAACCGTGACTTGACTTAACTCATGAAGATCAGCAATGACTTGACTTGCCTCATGACGATCAACTGTGACTAGACTTGACTCAAGACGATCAGTTGTGACTTGACTTGACTTGACTCATGAAGATCAATGGTGACTTGACTTGACTCATGAAGATCAACTGTGACTTGACTCATGAAGATCAACTGTGACTTGACTTGACTCATGACGATCAGTTGTGACTAGACTTGACTCATGACAATCAGTTGTGATTAGACTTGACTCAGGGTGATCAGTTGTGACTTGACTAGACTCATGAAAATCAGTTGTGACTTGACTAGACTCATGAAAATCAGTTGTGTCTTGACTCAGGGCGATCAGTTGTGACTTGACTAGACTCATGAAAATCAGCTGTGACTAGACTTGACTCATGATGATCAGCTGTGACTAGACTTTACTCATGATGATCAGCTGTGACTTGACTTGACTCATAACGATCAGTTGTGACTATACTTGACTCATGACGATCAGTTGTGACTAGACTTGACTCATGACGATCAGTTGTGATTAGACTTGACTCAGGGCGATCAGTTGGCCACCATTTCAATCACAGACACGGTGTCGCGTTCTTCCTCCGCGACACCCACAGTAAACAAAGATCCAACAGTCAACAATGCATAATCCATTAACTGAGCGAGTGATGAATGTTGCTGGGTCCTTGAACTGTGGATCGCCAGATCGGCTTTCCCCGTGGACGAAGTCCAGCCCGGGGTCGTCACATGTGGTTGCCACAAGCCTGCCGACTGCTCCTTTGTCGAATCCGCCGGCCGCCGCTCACTCTAGCCCACCGTGTGTTTCGTTGTGAAAGCGAAACTTACTTTGTTTGGTCTTCCAAAAGAGGACACGACTATAAATCAGTGGTTAAGTTGTAGTTACAACACTGTTCCAGAACAGTTTAACCCAAATATTCAGATGTGTGCAGCACATTTTACGGAGGACCGTTTCCTGTTCCTGAGAGAGTAGACTACAAAGACTGTTCTGACTCACAGACTGTAAGTACGTTTTCATTTAAAGAATTTGCCACTGACGATTCAAATGCCAGTTTTGAGCAGTGTAGAGTAGCACTTGTTGCTTGTAATTTCTCTGATCACAAATGCAGACATGGTTTTATGTTTACTCGGCGCGATGCAACGCAACGCATAAAAAGACAGTATAAGTCATTATAATCAGTAATCATGTCCCCACTGGATGCAACAAATGCCTCGTTTATAATGGGTTTTAATGTTTTTGTCTCGTCGCTCCGGCTGGGACACGGCATCACAGTATGTGAGGGGCGTAACATTTCCGTCACACGCTTGAGGTATTCAGCCAATCACAACGCACTGGATAGCTGGCCAATCACAGCACACCTCGCTTTTCAGACCAATGAGCTTTGTAAAAATCGACGCGTTTCAGAAAGACGGGGCATAGAGGAGAAACAATAATGTACAGTATGTGGAAAATAATGTGTTTTTTGAACCTTAAACCGCATAAACACCTTTCATTACACCAAATACACAAAATAATGTTCTTTGTATCAACATCATATGACCCCTTTAAGAAAAGTAGGAGAAGCCACTGAATATAATAATTTTC